ATCCCTTTACTGTCGGGAGGTATACGAGAGCCTTCCCTCAGAACGCGAGAATAAAGCTGAAAATAGTGCGACACACTAACTTTAAGGGCATTTTATTATTCAGTGGGAGTTCTTTATCCCAGGTTCGTATGAATGGCAACAGTGATTGAGGTTGAGCTGAAAAGAGTATTACGTAATACATTCCAATCCAGATGATAAAGTAGCAACAAGTCTCCATGGCAAATGATGATCATCGTAATAACGGGAACATTTTAAAGCGCAAACTCCACGCTGAAATGGAAAGCCGTGACATTTATCAAGGCCGACCACTCCAAGCACCCTGCCGTCCCACCGCACGCACAGACACCTCGCTTTAAATACCTGGAAATAAACACGAGGCAAGCGCAAACAGCCACAGTCACATACACACACACACACACACACACACACACACACACACGCACGTAAACACATACGCACAACACACACACACCTGCTAGACACCTGTGAGTGATAACCCGCCACCGCGCCTACGAGGTTGATGGATCCCAGTTGGTGACTTGCGTAGGTTTCTCGAGTTGATGGATTGCATCGGAATCGATTATGTCAGAAATTGCGGTGGCTGGTTGAAGAGACGCACGCAACTTGTAGACACGCACACACTGCATGTTTCCTTGGAGGGATACGTGCGCCGAACTCTGCACCCGCGTGAGTAAGGTGTGAGAGCACACGCCCCTCACATGCAGCCGGGGACCTTCGCAGCAGGAAAGCGAGAGCACTAACTCAGGTATGCAAATAAAGACCTAAACGGCTCCGTATCGAACCGGCAGCAAAAAACAGCCTCAGCTACAAGTGTCATGAGCTGGCCCTCCACACTTGGAACGCCCGTCTTAGGCCCTCCACGCCCTTCTCACTCTACGCCCGTTCCAGTCACTCTACGCTCGTCTCAGCCACTCTCATGTACACCTACAAAGACGCAAATGACTGCCATGTACACAAAGGCATACACAGATACCGAGGAGCGCACGAGTCTACGTACACGCCCTCAGGGAAGCACATTGGCCTCCGGAGACAAGAGAACGTACCAGGGCCGGTAGACTCGCATAAAAGCGCGGGACCCTTTGCGAAGGAGAAATACGAGATTTTTGTTACCAAATATGTCGGCTTGGAGGTGGGCCTCGGCAGTTCCTCTCCGCTCTCCCCTTAAGCGGTATTCCTCCATTAGCACTCAATTCTCACATGGGCCGCCTCCCATCCTTCCCGGAGCAGACATAGGCCTACTTTCCATACCCGCCTCGTGTCGCCACGGGAAGGAGGTGCAGGCCGCGGCGGGGTCCTCCTGCCTCCAGTGGCAATCGAAGCTGGATTAAACCCCTGGATAATTCATGGAATCCTGTTTAATGGTCTTTGCAATCCTCTCCCACTTCGCGCGTTGTATTCAAGCACTTCCCTCACTGAAGGAAAAAAAATCTTTACACATCTATTTCATATTTCCCACTGCGTTTTGCTCTTTCCACTTGGTTTTCTCTCTCATTTAACTGAAACTTATGCAGCGTCGCAGTTCGTACTTCACTAGCATTTGGCAAGCACAGCACACATAGGCCTATCTATTTCATCGCATTCGAAAGCACTCGAGGCACGAACACACGCAGCACCGGGCCTCTTCTGCGCGTTTCACTCACAAGAGCGTCGGGCGAATCGACGCGCGTTCCACTGGCGCTCCTCTCACGACCGTTGTCAGTGTAACACTGATCATCGCTGAACAGTGAAGCCTTACGTCGCGCGGCTGCCAGATGTATGCGCTTGTGACCCCTCGCTACTACAAAAACGCTGGCCATGTGGCCCGTTTGTCATTCGATAACTTTCCGATGTCTGATTTACTGCCATTAGCTGTTCATAAGTGACAAGTGAATTTGTGTTGAATCCCGAATCCCCGAAATTCAGACCCAGTAAGGAGCGGTCTACCGTTAAAACAACGCTGCATCCGGAGAACATGTTTTCCGACGCTAACATTTTTACTGTTAACTCTCTCTCAAAAGCATATACAAAACAGCTCAAATTACCCGCCCATTTCTGTACACTTCATGGATAATCATTTGTGTCTCGGATTCCCTTGTACTAAAGACGGTGATGTTGATACATGATCTCTCTTTTCACCCTCTCCCCCTTCCTCTTTTAAATCTCCCTCTCTTTCTGTCTTTTACTTCCACCTCCCTCTTTCTCTTCTTCTACTTTCCCTTTTACTTCTCTCTCTCTCTCTCTCTCTCTCTCTCTCTCTCTCTCTGTCTCTCTCTCTCTCTCTCTCTCTCTCTCTCTCTCTCAGGCCCTTCTCTGTTGCTCCGCTTCCACTTTCTTTCTTTTTCATAAGATATCACTTTCCTATTACAGAATGTTTTATTGATGCAAAATCTACATATCTTTTAATCGCAGTTAGAAGAATGAATATTAAAGGATGAGGGAGAGGAAGGGAAAAGATAGAAGGATAGATAGGTAGGTATGTTGGTAGGTAGAAAGATAGATAGTCAAAGATAGACAAATGGATATAGATAGATTGAGATACACAGAGAGTTATATATAGAGAGGGAGGGAGGGTGAGAGAGAGAGAGAGAGAGAGAGAGAGAGAGAGAGAGAGAGAGAGAGAGAGAGAGAGAGAGAGAGAGAGAGAGAGAGAGAGAGAGAGAGAGAGAGAGAGAGAGACAGACCCACTCCATATATCTCCGAACACGCACAAAAAAAAAAAAAAAAAAAAAAACACACACACACACACGAGAGTAACTCGAAATTTATATATGTTTTTTTTTTATACTCATTTTCAAAAGTTTCGGGATAGTTTTTGTAAGCTCGTTATCCCTGAACATTTTCACTTTTGAAAAAAAGTTTTCTATGTTTTTGCTGCCTACTTTTTATCGACTGGATCTGTTAGTTTCTGTTTGGATGCTGTTTGTATATCCCGGAATACTCCACTTTTTTTTTTTTTGCTTACGTTCATTCACATATCGTACTACACCGTGCTACAACTCAGTAATAACTATACCTTTACGAACAAGATACACGTTAATAAATTAGTATACAAGCACTCACATACGCAAACACGCGCAGATATGTACGAACACACATACGTAACTTACAATAAAGCGTTCTAATAACTTTATGAGCTCGTAGATTGAACTTTCCTGGCTACTTTTAATCCTCTTGATAAACACTGACATAGAGAGTAATGTGAGAACTATTTGCATAAACTCTAACAACTGAGAAATATTGCGACACGTAGAAGGTTGTATAGAAACAATTTTCAAACTACCAGTGAGAACTCGAGGTGATGGTGACGATGACGTCATCAATAAACATTATCAGAATAATAACCGGTAGCAATAAGAACAACAGACCCCAAAACAGTACAATCAGAACCTTTGCAAATAAACCATCACTGTATAAAAAAAAAACGATTCCAATAAAGCGACGAAAGTAAAAAAGAAAGAAAGAAAGAAAAAAAGAAAAAATCTCGCACTCACCCCTTTTCAAAAAAAAAAAAAAAAAAAAAAAAAAGAGAGAGAGAGAGGAAAAAAAACACGAGACAGAATGGGAATAAAAAGAAAGGACGGAGAGAAAAGGAAGAGGCCCGGAAAGACAAGAGGTCGAGTAAACGATGCACCGAGAGGAGAGTCGACGCACAAAGCGCTCCACCTCTTCCTGTGGAGCTTGACCTCTCGACCTTTGGAGTCGACACAACGCTTTTTTGGCTTTCGCGGTCGATATGCTGCCGTGTACTCCATCTCATCGCTAACGGGGGAGCAATCGCTACGAATTTCCTTGTAAAATAAGCCAGATCACTTAAAAATCACTGAAATACGAAGAAAACTGTCAGAAACAAACACGTACCAAGAACGTGGACGAAAGATACACGAAAAGAGCATCAGTCGACCAAAAAAAAAAGACAAAAGAGCAGCGCTATAAATCCCCGAAGACGCTTAAGCTCCTCCATGATCCTTCTTTCCGGCCTGACCCAGAACAATGTGGGTTCAGATCCTCCATAGCTTTGCCGTCACCTTCACCTCCTTCGGGTCGCTGAGAAAAGGGGAACCAGCTCTTGCGGATGGCAGAGCATAAGAAAAAACATCAAATGTCAATATTACGTAAAAGTTACTGTTTTATAATAAATAAATGAATTAGATAAATAAATAGATAAGGAATATTTGCTGGCGACAACACCCCAAATCCGATTATCAGTTGAAATTTCCACATATGATAATAATGGCGGTTACAATTTAGAAATAATAATGAACAAAACATGGCATAACGAATGACGTTTATCAAATTGCGCAGAAATGGCACGAGAATTAAAATCATAATAAGAAGAGTGATAAAAACAACAAAACTATACCACCACTTTCAACGCGATTAGATGGCGCTGAAATTTGAACTGGGGCGGGAAAACGTGACCAGAATGGAGTAGCGGTGTTTTATTTCAGAAACTGATAGAAAATGTCAACTATAAGATTACATGCGGTGCATAATGCTGAAATATTTATAATTTGGACAAATGTGTTTTTAGTATCCCTCTTTTTACTCCGCCTTTCATCCATTCATTCATTCTTCCTTTCTTTCTATCTACCTCACGCACTTCTCTTTCTCTTGCTTCCTCTCCCTCCCTCCGCTCCTCCTCTCCCTTTTGACTCTTAACTGTGTTGTGAGATTTGCATTCATATTAATGTACATTCTATACATCAGCTTTATCCTACACACACACACAACCACGCCCACCCACACCCACACACGACACACGCACACCCACACCCACCCACACCCACAAACACCCACACGCAAACCTACACACCCACGCACTCAAACACACACACACAAGCCAACAACCCCCCCCCACACCCACAAAAACAAAACAAAAAAACAACAACAACATAGACACAAACATATACGCACTAAAAATATCTAAAGCACTCTTGGGCCATTCTGCATAATACCCCGCCTTCCAACTCCTCTATCTCGGGCACGTCGTCTGCCGCTCCGTTTATCCGCACAGCCATTACGAAAACCGGTCTTAAAGCGAAGACTAAACACACTATCATAACATTCTCGAAGACTTGTAAACTTAATTCTGCGAGACAATTTCTTTCGTAATCGACAGAATGCGCAGAATGATAAGAGAAAGCAAACAAGATATAAACATGCGCCTTACCTGTTTTTCTCTTCTTCACTATGGCGTGGTCTCTCGTCTGACTTACTCTTTGTTATCATAAGTTCACCTGAATACACTCTGCTCGACTCAC